AGACGCGAGAGGAAGAAGGAGGGGGGGGGGGAGACACGCCACTGACTCTCAGGTCTGGAAGTAGAGCAAGAAGCTCGAGATTTTGCCGAGGTTGTATGACGCTTGAGAATGCTTGAGGTCGTTGTAACCGCGATCGGTGGACATTTCCGTGGTGCATTTCCCAGGAATTCCAGACGATACGCATCCATGGAAGATGAGGGGCTGAGAGGAAGTGACGCCGGGAAGTCGGATTCCTCGGGGGAACGGGGGGCAAACGGGCAGGGGACACACACGGACGAGAATGGGACAACGCGCCTCTATCCGTGCGTGTCCCCCATTTAAGTATTTCATGCAAAATGAAAAACCGTTCAGTCCTTCTTCCTTCGCTAAATTGTTCGTGCCGAATGACAGTCGAACCAGGAGATGAGAGAGAATTCCAGCAACCTCTTTCACCATGCAAAAACTCATCGACCGACATGGAGCACACACTCTACGATTGCAATGACGTATTACCACGTCGAAATGCAGGAAAACACATTTCCAGGGCTTCAACAGCCGTAAAAAAGCATTATGCAGGAAAATCTCGTTAAGTAGAAATCCGGGGGGGACCAAAAAATACGACTTCGAATCATCCTGTTTGTTCGTTATTTTGAAATTACCCACACGCTCCTGGACCTTGACATTCCATGCGTAATAAAGGAAGGCCTGGTTTCAATTTTTGCATTTGCACTGCTGCAATTGCAAATTAACACCGATGAATGACAAATATGTTGATGTGTCCGGAACCGGGGACATTCGGTCGTTCCTGTCGATGCCATTCGCGTCACCACAGAACTATCGATACGATACTTCGAATACGATACTTGAAGCATTTCAACACCTTGTAACTGTGCGAGTGTCTTTTTTTTTTTAACAACCCTATATTTACGAAACATACACTTGCATGAATAAGAAGCAACAGGCGGCGATCTCGTAGTTCCCTGAGGTCCTCGGGATGAAAAATCCTGCGAATCACACCCGCTGAATTCTTGGATGACGCTGACGAAGACGCACGTGACGCGTGCCGATGCCTCCGGCGGAGTTTCCTGCAGGTCTTGTGACCGTCGCCGATATCGAATCGACGAGGTTTACCTGTATATATAGATCAGGGGTCGGGAACCTTTCTGGCCATGTGAGCCATATTAAGATTAAGCTAAGTGCTTGTGAGCGAAAGATTTTCGGAACCGAAATTTTTCCTGAAGCCGACGATTGACATTTGCATTCTTTGATACATCATGAAACACGAGGAACGACCATGACTTTCAGGCATCATTCGATGCCTGAAATTCGATCCGATGGTCCCAATTCATTCCGTTTTCCAAACATATCGATCTTAATATTGCTTTCATACACGAATTGTGCTCAAATCGGTTCTTTGATAACTCTTGTTTCCTCGAACATTTTATGGGAATCTTGGAATCTGTCATTCGATGCCGAATCGACGATGGTTCAGCAATTGCTCAGTACAATTGCTTCAATGTACTCAGCAACATCCTGAGTACATTGAAACATGATAAAGGACTCTCAGCAGTTGAAAAAGAAACATTAACTGCACCGAGGACAAACAAAGAAGTCGACATCATTACCTGACTCGAGGAACCGTTGTGGAAAACAGGATTGCAACGCTTTTGCTTTTGAGTAACAATGCACGTGATTGGGAGACAATATCTAGAGACTGTGTGTATGTAAGAGGAGTGATCAAGCATCGATTAAAGTGACTATGAGCTATGAGTGTAAAATAAGAGGTCTTACATTGCAGGAAAAATGTTGCATTGTTTTTGCATGTATGGATAAATAGTGCCAAAAATCACAGAATGCCCTATTTGTACGAGGGATATTTACTTGCATTCAAGTTTCGTGCAACAAAAATTTCTGGAGAATGTCAAGCGATGCAGAAGGAGGTGCATAAGCATACCCTCATGCATGGCCTCATCACGTACTGCATATTTCGTCCAGATGTCCAGTACGTCTATTCATATATCCAGAGGAAGTGCATTGGATGTTCTCTTGCAGTCTGAGATCCCACACGAAAGGAAGCAGACAGTATCAACAGGTCTGTGCGGTGCTAACATAAAATGAAGGATGTGTCCATATTGCCCCAAATCGAGATGGCCATATTTCCCCATATTGGCTCGCATTAAAAAATTGACAACACTGCCTACAAACCGCAAGTGAAGGAGCTAGCACTTTGCACAAGCATTCTGGAGAAACCATAGAAGAATTTAGAAGTAATGGTTTCTGTATCCATGCTGCTATTAGGAAATATACGCCTATGTTGCTCAAGGCTCATATTAATTTCAGGATCATGAGTCAAAGAATCGCATGCATATGACTTTCAAGATGTCGATGTATCCCGAATTCCTGTGAGAACTGGATCGATGAACAGGTCTAAACATTTCGACAATTGCATGTACTCTTCGATAGAACTATTTTTTAAATTTAGTCTTCTTTTTGATAGAAGGCTCCACCAGCGCCCCCCACGACACCTCGCCCAAACTAATTATTCAGTCTATAAGGGGATTCCTTGTGAAGGGCCATATTACCCCAATGGCCATATTCCCCCAAGTTACCCTATCGATTCTGTCAACACCTCCCGTTCACAAGGACTTGTCTAGGACCTGTCCATGACCCGAAGCGTTTACTATTGTGATGATACCTGAAAAGTAAAAAGAAAAGGGTTACCATTTGTCGTAGGTGCTTACTATTATTATTCTTGATTGTTAGCGTCGTGTTGTGTAAGGAAAAATAATTCTGGACGGATTAAGGCAAGTCAAGTACCAACGTATTTGCCTCGCCCTGACGATTTTAAGGTTCCAAATACTGATGAACAAGTAGAGACAGTAGTGAAAATTACCTGCAGCGAAATATTGGAACCTATCTTCTCATGCGAGGCATGCGTGTACTCTTCCTAGTATGTAGGTGGTTATTTTGATTGCATCTAGGATTTAGCAAGAGGTGAAAGAACTAAGAAGTACTTACGAGTGAAAAGTCCGCAGGCTGCTCTAGAGCGAAACGTAAAGTGTTTGGAGAACGGACTGACGTCAAGCATAATGACAAGATAGGAATTCTTGGGGTTGGTTGGGAGCACCTTAGGTCCTCTTCTCCCAAGAAACAGCCACAGTTGCTTCCCGTGAGAGATTTCTCCTCGTTCACAGCCCCATGAAAATTGTCAGTCCGTTTTCCAAGGTGATACCCAGGTTGGCCCAAAGGTCAGGAAACGATTTTGGGACGTCGCTGCTGGCAGACGCATGGGCGTACAGAGCTGTCTCCTCATGGATGCTTACAGTAGATGATGCGGACGAGGTCGCGCGGTTTGGAGCGAGGTGTCGTGGGGGGCGCTGGTGGAGCCTTCTATCAAAAAGAAGACTTCGGGGCGTTAGAATCTCCTGCGAATATGTAAGGCACTCAGAAGCATTCTGTGCCGTGCCCTCTCCGAGAAGCGATTCTTACTAATGTCTGGCTTTCTCTCGTGCTCTTTCTATCGTACGTATGGAGTCGATTCATATTTATGCAGTTGTCATTGAAACCTTATTTTGGGATAGACCTATCACTTTCATAACACATACAAACACATATATCAAAATTAATATGAGATATTTAGGCTAAGCGTGGCGTGATAGGCTAGGACGGTGCACCCCTACGCACGTCAAGTTCAGTGCAAGAACGACTGGATAGATGATGATTGACAATGAGATACTGTCGGATTCGCCTCGATTTGATGATTACCCTTTTGGGGCTTTCAACTACTGATCTAAAACTGAAATTCCTAAAACTCCAAAATTCATAATGAACAGGCCTATGTAGAACTAAAACTACCGTGGAGAGCAAGAATAGCTTCTGAGGAATGCCACAGTCCTCCTTTGGATTCCTTCCGCAAAGGCAGCGTTTCTACAGCTTAAATATTGAACGAATCGACCCGTAGATGATTCATATACAGACTATTCTTTTGTCTCGGAGTATTCTGGGGTGTGATACATTCATACTCAGTTTTGCACCGAGGTGGTTTGGCTCTTGAGCTCTTGTTCTTCGGAAAGTATTAAAAATACTCAGACTATTCAGAGTATCCAGAACGCGCAGACTGACTTGAATAAGCAATATTTGCGACTGGATTAGTCAAACAAGGCATCGACGAACTTATTTTGCGACATATTGCTTTTCCGGATGCTAAAGAATACCCATGATGAAAAATCCAGGTAGTCTTATAGCAAGAGCAAGGGAATCGGTTTGACAAGAAGGTATCGATGGCTTTGTCTTGCCTTTGTAAGTCAAAACTCTTACGTATGCGGCAGAGGAAGAAGCGGAGAACCGGAGAACTAAGAGCACGGAGACAAAAATTTGTGAGATGAGAACTGCCTGTTAAGGTAAAATCATCTGCAGATAAATTTCACTCAATATTTTACGGTGAGCAGTGCCATTTTAACTTAGAAGTCCGAGTAAGAATCGCTTCTAAGGGATCCGACAGTCTGGTTTCGAATAATTCAGACAAAAGCACCCTTTCCAAAGTTTAAAATATTCCATGAAGGCATCCGCAGGTGATCTACGACGTTGTCCCAGAGACGCTTACATTGGGTTTATTTCGTCCTTCTCAGGAGACATATCCAAGAAGTGTGTCATTGCAGTGAAATTTCCAGTCGTCCCAATTTAATTGCGCTTTTGGTTTTGGTGCACCAACTTACGATGAATTCTGGAGAAGATTGAATGAAGACGACACGGCTATGAAACTTATTTTTCCGCGGAAGAAATTGGAGCAGCGATGAACAGTCGCGATCAGTCTCCCTGAATGGAATATATTCTCCGAAACCTTGCAAATTCGATGTAATTTTGATCGTGCTCTTTGAAATGCCTCACTTCTTACACTTACTTGCCACCTGAAAGGAGAAAATAAACCTGATGTAAAGACTAATGAGATAATCCTCGTGACAGTTCTTACACCTCTATTTGTTGTTAACTTGTGTGCTAGTGTTGTTGGCTAGTGATCCCACATGATTTTCACTCTGCCTTGTGAGTAGAGGTTTAATTTTCTAGTACTATTATTGTCCTCGTGCCGACTAGTGAAAGTTTATGGAGTGTTGTTCCACTTATTGCGTGCACTGTAGGGCTTGGAGATGCCTGGGGAGCAGCACCAGCCATGACGAATCCTCGGGAGAATTCCATCAGAGAACTCGGTTCCCATCTCCTTCAGGTAACCCCATTTACAGTGTACCACTTATTAAAGGTTCACGCAGGGGGCTCGTTGACATGCATTGCAAGGTTCTGCCATCGGGGACATAACACCCTCCGCTTTACGACCTCATTTCATTTGCAGAGTGACGTGAAACTTTGTTTAAGCTAATGAGCATCCTCAGTGAATTGCCGTTCCGTCTCTTCCCCCTTACTATACAGTACAGAAAATTTTTTCGTTTCTTTTCTTCCAATGCATGAGACCTTTGACTGCTAAGGAGCAGGATATCGCAGAAAGCTGTTGAGTGCGTGAAGATCCTGCTCGAAAGAAAAGAGACATGTGACTATAGGATATGCCAGAGAATTATCCAAGGTGCAGGGAGCCAGCGCTTTCTCACGAACCAAATCACCGTGAAGAGCGTATTGGTCCATGTGATGCAAGGACTCCGAATCATTGCCATCTGAACTCGACTTTCTCTTATCGTTGGCGCGGCTCAGACTTGGCTTTCTGCAGAAGCTTTAACTAATAAAGAAAAGTTGGGGGAGAATATGACTGAAGAAACCGTGCTACCCAACTGGTACTCATCGTGAGAGACTGATTACATTGACTACTTTATTGGTCCAAAAAGCCCCATGATTCAGCTAGGTTTACCTAAAGTGGATAGATGTGTTGAGTCACAAGTACTGACTCAGCCGACTCTGATTTCGCAGGTGAAAATAAAGTTGGAATATATTTTTTCGATTTTTGCTTGAACATGCTACAACCAAACCTCGTTTACGCGAACACGCATAGTACGAACTACATCGTTACCACGAATTCGAGGGGAACCGCGGATTCAGTTTGCGTTAAGCGTGGTTGGTGTTGAAAGTACAGCTTTGATAAAACGACGTGTTTCACGTGTGTCCTGGTCGGAACCTTGTTGGAACTGAGTTACGAACTTCACTCAACACCAACTGAGTCTGAGGTACCCTTCTAATTCGAGTTAACGAGGTAGTTCGTGGCATGCGTGTTTGCGTAAAAGAAAGTTTGACAGTATTTAATTATTAAAAACCGATGAGTCCGGATTTGATGAGTGCCCTGAGAACCTGTCCTGAGTGTGATGGGAGCCCTCGAAGTGATCATTTCAATTTTTCTGAGCCTACGTATTATTCTTCCCCGAAGTGAAAATGTGGCGATACACAAACATAAATCTCTATTTCCACCTGACGCCCCCCCCCCACTCCTGTGGTCACTGTGGCCATTGATCAAAATTAGGCGTTCAGGAAGATAAAACTATTGGGCCAAATAGACCAGATTTCTTGGAGTTATGTACTCCAGCTGTGTTAGTGAGAAACATCTATCTAATTTTACATTGTAAGGACGTGAAAGGCCACGGGACCTGTTTCTCCAAATTATTATTCAGTTCACGCTTCAGTTGCAGATCGAATTTTTGTCGTGGATATCTAATACGAGCAGGGCTGCTCATATTTTATGAAGTCGCTGAAGAAAAGTTGTGGAGAGATTTTATTTTTTACGGGAACGGAATGATGAGGGCCAACGCCTTTCGTAACATGGTAAAAAAAAAAAGTCTGACATTTCTCTCTTATCAAAACAGAGCATAACAGCGCTGCGATAATCGTCCTGCCCCGTTTCCCCAGCATTTTCCCTTCCGCAGCTCGCCCACTTGATATTGGGGGGAAAAACTATTGTCTCATTTTTTCTTTGGCCTTTGTGAAGCTATACGATAAACTCAGGCATGAACCTAGGAAGAGAAATTGTCACGACTCCAGTTTGATGAGAGTGTCTTTTCGTTCTCCTTGTTGTCCCTTTTTTTTGGCTCAACATTGAAGTTTAAACCTTTAACAGAAACTCAAGTAAAAAAATTTGAGCAAGAATATACTCTACTCAATATTAATATTTGCCCAATTAACATGTCGTTTTTTCGGAATTTACAAACTTGATAAGAATTTTACGTCCGAGGTTGTTGCGCTGCACTCCATGAGTATTAGTGACAGGAACTGTAGAAAGTCATCAACACATTATTGTCGAAAGCATTGCCCTGTGGGCATATATTCCTCATAGGACTTCATATATTGTATAATATACATTTTTATTTCTTTTGGTTGACAGACGCTTGATGGGTTTATATTTGTTGTGGCGCCGGATGGGAAGATCATGTACATTTCGGAGACTGCATCCGTTCATCTCGGTCTTTCTCAGGTCAGTCACTTGATTTTTCCCTCGAAGGATTACAGACGGGACGTGACTAGGGCCCTCGTCTCGCGGTTTATCCCAAGCCTAAGCCCAGTCATAAATTCCAGCATTGATCTCTCTCATAAATACGGGCGTTCTGCAATTTGTCTCTCCTTAACGCCTCTTCCCCCCCCCCCCCCCATATCCCATTCCTCTCTCTTCGGTCTTCCTTTTACATTTCCAAGTGGGATCGTGTAGGAGAAGAATCCTGACCACAGAGGGCGAAAACGCCATGCATTGACATCATAGTCCTCCAGGGAACTCCTCTGTTTCTTCTCTCCCCTTCCCTCCCAATCTCTCACCATCGTGATTTGCAGTTACTGCTGTTTGTCCTACTGCTGTTTGTCCTCTGCCATTATTTGTAAACTATCGACAAAGGTTTTGAATGAGAGGAGTGCATGAAACATGAGTGCTATCAATCAGGAATGAGGGCTTCCGAAGATATGTAAGGAAGCATACCATTGATGTTCCTTGGAATTACCAGGTGGAATTGACGGGGAATAGCATCTACGAATACATCCACCCAGCAGACCACGACGAGATGACAGCCGTGCTGACAGCCCATCAAACCCTTACTCCTCCCCCCAGTGCACTCCAAGGTAGACTTTTCTGTCTTTAGTTTTCCTCTTCCTATATCGTGTGCCTTCAATGACCCCCTCAATGACCCACCACGACTGACAGATTTCGAAGTGGAGCGGTCCTTTTTCATCCGGATGAAGTGCGTTTTGGCCAAGAGGAATGCAGGGCTCACGACGGGAGGATACAAGGTGAGTGGCGTCATCCTTTCTGCGAGTTGACTTTTAGGAGATTGAATGGGAGAAGCCGAGATTAGACAAACACACATAATGGGGAAAAGGCAAATATGGAAGCCCTAATACATTGTCCAGCCTCTCCCCTCTTCTCTCTCTCTCCTTTGATAAATTTTACGAGGCGTTTTCGCTCGTACATTAGGAATAAAGAGAGAACCCAGAGAGACGTTAGTTTCCCTTGAGCCAGCAAGTCAGAGTCAAGGATACCCCAGCTGTGCGGTACTATTGTTGTACCGTACAGTACTGTATTGTATTCCATGGCGTCGCATGGAATTGCGTTGTTCTATTTTAGGCAACCCTTCTTTTTTTTTCTCCCATCCACTCGTTTTCCCTCCCCTCCCCTCTTCTGACTCCCTCCCTTCCCCTACGAAGTAATATTATTATTTTTATTATCAGGAGTGCCTGGATTCCCCTGAACTGTTGCTGTCCTCCGTCCGCACTTGCACTTGCACGCTTTGGATGTTGACACAATTGGGTCTCTTAGTCTCCTCCCACGTGTTCGCTGGGAAAGACTGAAAAAAAGGAAAAACCCTTCAGTGCAAGGAGTGTTCGTAATCCCAGAGAGAAGGTTTTGATCGGTAGGGAGAGGGGAAGAGCCCTGTAAAATGATAATTCTGAGGCAAGTGCAAGTATCTAGGTCAATAATAAACCCAGACAGGAAGAGTTTGATTCCATGACGCTCTGCATGTGGCTCATATCATCTCTGCCTCTTGAAGCACTCTCCTTTCCAAGACTCAAAATGGCGCTGAGTAATTACGGACTGTCGTGCAAAGTGTCCAAAGGATTGGTTTGAGTTCTTGACAGAGAAAATGCCCAACTTGACCGTGATTCTGGGACTGAGGACAGGAATATAAGACAGGCCATTCCAGGCAATTTCGATACTGAATTCGTTGTAATATAGCAGGAAGTATTTATGACTACCCTTAGAGCAAGTGAAAAATTAATCCTATGCATAATTTCATAGATAATCACAAATGCAACCGTCGCAATTTTCGTTTGCCCTACTTCAGAGAGCAAGTTGTCTGAGGTAACTGGGAAATGACATAACAATTCCTTTGACTCTGAGAGGACCAATAGACCCTAAGGTGAAAGCATATTTAGATCAGAGGAATGTCCTCTTCCTTCCTCCCCATTTAAAATAGAGGGGAGGGCGGAGAAGGACGAGGCGTCCAGGGTGGATCATCAGACGCAGCCCCCTACCCCTCTCTTTCCTCCTTCCTTTTCCATTTCTCAGCTGCACAAACCACCACCAGGAGGCGCTGTATCCTACTGAAGAACCATCCTCCTTTTCCTCATTCACCACGTAATTTATTATGCATTTATCTGTATCATCGCTAAAAGAGATCGCAAAGAGGGGTTGATCTGACTCTTTTGGGAGTTCGGCACATTAATATTAATGCAAAAGGTGGTGGGCAGGTGAAGCGTCGGTTTTTAACGAGCTTGGCTCCTATTGTAGGGGACAGGATTCGAAATCGACGAAGTCAAGCGTTTACTCTCAAGTGAAACTTGCCAGTGTTTTTTTTTTTGGAAGGTATTAATAGATCCCTATCTAAAAGAGAGCATGTAGCACCCCGTCTGCACGTGTGGAACGTGAGAAAATATCAACGGGGAAGGTTGAACGCGGGTGGTGTATGTCCGTTGTAACTGACACAGCAAAATTGAGTTTCCCATAGTTAGGATCTTAAATGAGACTAAAGGGGTGGAGGAGTTCCAGAGTGAGAGCACATTCATGGGTCTTGAGCCTCCTTCGTGTAGTATCATATTGTAAAAAAGTATATCTTTCTTCACATTGTTTCGTGGAATTTCAGCGTTTTGGACCTTGGTCGAAACCCAGAACGAAGCAGGATCATTTCGGTTGGCATTCTCATGCCTCAGCATGCACATTTTCTGTCATGGGAAATCGGTTACTTGACACGATGTCAACAACAGATCCACCTTTTTACTTTTGCTTTCACCATACCACGAGAAATACAATTTAGTTGCACTCTGGCTTACGACGAGGTGAAATTTTCGATTGGGGTTCGATACGATTTTCTGAGAAATTAATTCCTGCGATGGATAGCTGGAAATGCAGCAGGGTTAATACGATTCTTTTCACAAAGGAAGGGATTATTCTCTTTTTAGGTGATCCATTGTTCGGGGTACCTGAAAGTGAAGCAATACACGTTGGATGTGTCACCTTACGATGGGTGCTACCAGAATGTAGGTTTGGTGGCAGTGGGTCACAGTCTTCCACCGTCTGCAATCACCGAAATCAAGATGCACTCCAATATGTTTATGTTCCGAGCAAGCTTGGACCTCAAGCTCATCTTTCTTGATGCCAGGTAAGGCTACGTCTTAGTCATGGAGAAGCACAAATGATCTCAACAAGAGATGTTCGAGTGCAAGGTGTGCTTGCATGCCAAAAAAATCTTAGGGAAAATGACTGGAGGAACAAGAACTCTCGTTCATTTGAATGTTTGATCGCTATCGATCAACCGGTCCTGTGGACTATTTATTTTAGATAACGTTTAGGAGGCACTGGAGCTCTCCTCTTTCGATGGACAGAACAGCAGCGGCAACAACACTCAGTGAGAAAAAAAAAAACTTTTTGTAAGAAACGAGAGCCACGGCCCAAAATGCGTGGAGAAGTTGCTTAGCGAAAATGACTGGAGCTCCTCCAACCCTCAAGTCCACGCCCTTCCCGCTCCGCCTGAGTCCACGGCTCTCTTCAGGCAGGGCAACGCCAAGCAGACCAATCGCTTCACAATACGTATTATATGGCCTCGTCGTCACATTTCGACTTGTGATGACAGACCCGCCTTGAACGGAGCTTTGCTCAGTTCAATTATTAACTCATAACTTTGGTTTCTCACATCTCTGGATGGTTTCTCAAGTTTTTATGTACTTGAATTTTATGCATCCATAGGCTACTGAAAGAGAATGAGAATATGCGAGAGTCAGCTGACTTCTGCGCAATACTTGATCAGGAACACAAATTTGACTTACCGTTAATTTCATCTCCGCACAAACTTTTTCGGTTCTTAAGAGTGGATCTCTAGCGATCTCTAGCTTCAATATGACAGCCTAAAGAAAAGCTGCAGAACGAAATGGAACTGGAATGGAACAGAAAAAAGCAGGCAGAAATGAAGGCAATCGGGAAAAAGACTGGCTGGTAAAAATAAATATATTATTTCATTTCCTGTTCTTTCCTTTTTGCTTCCGCGCCCCGTACCCTGAGCCTGGTTGAGAAGAAATGCCGTATAACTCTCAAACAACTCCTTCTGACAACTGTACCTCTAGTCTATGGCACGAGAGGACATTGACGCAGCGTCAATGCTGCCATATTGTGATTATTCGAACGGTTATTCTCATGCGCGAACAGTGGAACCGGGACGAGCCTTATACTTACGTTACTTAGGTTCCTTATCTACTTCATCCATATGAGAGATGGAAGGAAGACGAATCCATGCGCAGAGCCGTTGAATGGAGACAACACACCCTCACCATATTGGATCCAACAGGCGAGCGCCTCCATTCGAAGCGCTCCTATTCTCTTCCTTGCTTGAAACAGGATACGAGGGGAACCTTTGTTTTTTGTTTCATACGAGAGGCGTTCCAAAAGTTTTGGCCCTCGCAACTTCCAGTTGCAATGCATTGTTTTTTTTTTTCCACAAGTGATGACAGCCACATTGAGAGTTGACTGGCAAAGGTTTATCGCATTTGAAAATTGGATATCATTTTTTTTTTTGTGCGGCGAAATGGACTTTTTGAAATGTTGAAAACTGACAACAGAGCAGTGATCAGTTATCTTGCTTCAAAAAATTAAGTTTTCAGAAGTGAGAAAATTGATCACGGCCTTTATCCCAATATTCGACTTTTCAAATGTACCTCTCTCAGCACTACCAAAGATCAGCAAAAATTGTCTATTACCGCCAAGTATAGTCAAAGCTTGGCAGTCAAGTTTCTGTGTGTCATCACCAGTGAAAAGAAGCAATGCATTACAACTGGAAGCGCCTTGGTCAGAACTTTTGAAACAGAGGTCTGAGGGTAGAGGTGCCACTTGCAACAGCGGATCCGGAAATTAAATCGATTCCCCCTTTGGGGGGAGGGGGGGGGGGGAAGCAATCGTCTGTGAGATGCAGATTTTATCCAATTTGGTTGCCAAAATGCTCTCTCAAAAATTGTTGTTATTCACCTTGTAACATGCTGACATACGGTACTTTCTTATTTTTTAAGTATATTTAGCTATGGCGCTATAGTGGAGGCGCAAATTTTCGGTTATATACAGGGTGGCGCAAAAGTCGCGCATCATAGGGTAAATTACAGTAAGTGTTCGAATCGTCTGCCATTTACTTGAAAACACCGATTCGATGCACACATGATGTTTGAAGATATCTTAACTCCACCTTCTCGTCTTTTGTTAATTTTGCAGTCTTCACTTACCTGCAAAGAATGAAACAATAATTAATGTAGAGCAACAGTGAAATCCACTATGGTGCGCGACTTTTGCGCTACCCTGTACATGTTATGTTATGTATATTGGCCATCTCGCCGACGGAGGCATGGAGAATTTGAATAAGTAATCATAGGTAATTTATAGGCATAGATGGGAAGTCTTTTCATTAATTCTATTAAATTAAAGAAAAGACATTGCGGGAACGGGAGGCAGAGAGCCAGATGATGCCATCGAAAGTCATCTACTGCTCAATAGATGGAGACAGATGAGAGAGAGCTCGATGATATGGAGACGATAGCTGACCTGAAGTTGAACCTATATTATCAAGTGTGAACTGGACCCGAACTCAATTCTGCCGAATGAGCTGAAAGAGACAATTAGAAAGATGACTAAATTTCAATTCTGACTGGACGCAAACCCCTTGCGAACGGAACCAGAAAGGAAAGGTTCATGGGACCTGTAGGATGGTGGTTTCACCTTCATAATGGCGTTTTCCCTGTCACCTCCCCTTGTTATGAATCTGGTCAGAATCATTGAAGAAAATAAAGCAAATGCAGGGAGGAGGGGACGTTCGAGTAAAAAGAAGTGCAATGAGACGTTTGAGGTTTAGGGCTCGAGGGGAGAATTTTTGGTTGCTCTGTTTCTGTTCTCATCGAGTCATCGATCACGTTATGTTGGACGTGTTTGTAGGGTTGCGCAACTGACGGGTTTTGAGCCGCAAGATCTGATCGAGAAAACACTCTACCACTACATCCATGGCTCTGACATCATGCACATGCACTATGCGCATCGAACTCGTGAGTTTCCCTCCTGTTAACTCTATATGAACTCCGTCATGAATGGTCTTCATCAAACATTCTGATTTTTTTATTGTATTTTTTTTCTTTCGCAGTATAAGTATATTGCTATTTTTTTAAAATTATTATTTGACAATGCTCTATCGGCATAGTAATCTCGTGAGTGAGAATCACATCAGTGCCAAAACAAGAATCTAGGAGCGGATAACACTATCGTACTTCCAAACATACTTCTTTGACGGCCTTTCCACCAAAGCCGCGGCAGGTCGGCCTCACCTGAACGAAGGGAAATATTTCCATTTCTATTGATACAGAAGAAAGTTTACAAGGAGCCATGGAATTCCTGCTGTCTCTTGGCTTCTCGAATAATAGAATATGATAAAACTTTTCTGAAGTATTCGATCTTTTGAAGTTACTAATAATTGAAAATTTCAGATAGCGAGTCTTCGAAAGCAGGAATGAATGTACATTATGCATATAACAATTCTATGATTCAGTTTCTGCATTGCATCAACTCATTTCTCATGTTCCTGAGAAGAGGCGAGAGTTTCCCAACGAAGGAGTGAAATCTCTTGCAAATGAGGAAACAATGCCCCGAATATAGGTGGGCTTTTCATTGTTTATAAGAAATTACCAGTGTTGGGCAGTAACGAAGTAAAAGTAACGCGTTACAGTAACTAATTACTTTTTTCAGTAACTTTTGAGGTAACGAGTTACTTTTCAGAGGAGGGTAACGGAACCGGTAACTAGTTCCTTTTTCATGGGAAAAGT